TCAGCCTACACATGAGCCTTATCAGAGCTTTCAAAATTCAGGATGATACAACACCATAAATGAAATGCATGAGACAGCGAAAAACCATTATTGAGAGAATGATTCGTGGCGTTGATTCAATTAGATTCTTTCGCAACACTAGAAGATTCAGGGTTATACAACACCTTAAATCAATGCATGGGTAAGCGAACAACCATTTTTTGGCAGGATGAAAATGGAGTTTCATTCAAAAACTTTTTATGTCTCTAATCTAAGTAAGAGAATCGCTAATTCTATTTTGGTTTTGAAAATACCTTGTACAGTTAGTGCATATCGTAAAAAAATCGGAAAATATTTTTTTCTCAAAAATATTAAATCCGCTTAGAAAGGGGGGACTATTTAATCTTCCAAAGTCGTAAAACACATCCCGGCTTCCATTAAGACATAACTTTCTTCATGCTTTGGTTTTCGTGATGTATGATATAGTTCCGGTGAAATATTTTGACGCGTTTGGTGAAACGCATATGGTGAAAAAAATAGTTAAGGATTATTTTCGCAACACTACAAAATTCAGAATTATACAACACCATAAATGAAATGCACAAGAAAGCAAGCAACCATTATTGCAAGGATGAAATGAAATTTCTGTCCGAACTTTTGACGTTCCCAGTCTAAGAGATTCGCTAGTATTTTTTTTATCTAAAAATAGCGTGAATCAGTTAGTCCATATTATAGTGAAAAAAAATCGGAAAATACATTTTCTTCAAAAATAATAGATACGGGTACGGCTTGAAAGGCGGGACTATTTAATTTTCTGAAGTCGTAAAACACATCCTGATGTTGATTAAGACTTGGCTTTTTTTCATTCTTGGGTTTTAATGACGTATGACGGTTAGAGCAAAATATTTTGATGCGTTTCAAAACGCTTTTAATCGTCTTGGTTATGCAGAAAAAAATAGTTAAAGATTATTTTCGCAATACTGCAAAATTCAGGATGATACAACACCATAAATGAAATGCCTGAGACTGCAAGCAACCATTATTGTCAGGATTAAATGGAATTTCAGTCCAAACTTTTTATGTCCCCAATCTAAAAAGTTCGCTAGTACTTTTTTTAAATTTGAGAATACTTTGAATCAGGTAGTAAATATAGTGAAAAAATCGGAAAATACATTTTCTTTAAAAATGATAAATCCAGTTTGAAATGAGGACTATTTAATGTTCCGAAGTCGTAAAACAAATCTTGGCGTTGACTAAGTCATGGATTTTTTCATTCTTGGATTTTAATGATGTATGACAGTTCTGTTAATTATTTTGTTGCGCTTCAAAATGCTTATAGTTGTCTTTGATATGCTGAAAAAAAATTAAAGATTCTTTTCGCAACACTGGAAAATTCAGGATGATACAACAACAACACACCAGCGAACAACCATTTTGGCAGAATGAGATGGAGTTTCAGTCCGAACTTTTCATGTTTCCAATCTAAATAAGAGATTCGCTAATTAATACTTTGTTGGTTTTAAAAATACCTTGTAAAGTTATTGGACTTCGTAAAAAAATTGGGAAATAATATTTTCTCAAAAATAATAAATCCGGCTTGAAAAGCAGGACTGTAATTTTTGGTCTTCCAAAGTCGTAAAACATATTCTAGCGTTGATTAAGACATGGCTTTCCTCATGCTTGGATTTTTGCGATGTATGAGGGTTCGGGAACCGGTTCTTATCTGATCACCGAAGTTAAAAAAAAGTCAGGCAAAGTTAGTACCTGGCTGGGTGACCTCTTGGGAATACTTCGTGTCGTAGGCTCCTTTTGATTTATTCATGATTTATTCCAATGTAATTTATTTAATCATGATTTATTCCAAGGTAATTTACTTTAATTTATTCATGAAATTATTCCAATGTTATTCAATGTTGATTTATTCATAGAAAATTATTCCAATGTTCTCATCAATTTGCCCAAAAGGAACATTTTTATTTAACTTTCCCCAAAATATTCATAGATTAAAATTTCTTGTTTTCTCAAACATGATGTCCACGTCCATACCACTTGGAAAGCACAGGTTCTCGTTAGATCACCAAAGTTGAAACAGATCGGGCGAAGTTAGTACTTGGGTGGGTGAGCTCTTGGGAACACTTCGTGTCGTAGGCTCCTTTTGATTTATTCATAGAAAATTATTCCGACATACCGACATACCGACATACTCAACGAACTATTATTTCGAAACCCGGCGATACGAGACAACGACGGCCAGGTGCTGTACAACGCCAAATGGGCAACAGCGGGTGTTACACAACTAAAAGACATATGCTACATATCAATCCCAGGATTGGATGGACGCTATACCTATCAAATGGACTAGGGAAATACAACGGGAACATACCAAACGACCTAAACCTACAGTGCAACCTCGCTTTAGAGTAAACATAACAGCACAAGAGACAGTAGACATAACACAACTCAAGACAAAACATTTCCACAAACAATTGACAAGAGATGAACTAGCAACAATGACATCGCTTGATCATTGGAAACGAACCTTACAACCGCCACAACAATCGACTCCAGCTACTGGACAAACACAACATACAGCAAACTCATCACAAACAAACAAGGCGACGTCAACTGGAAAGTAGCGCACAGAGTACTACCAATCGCAAAGTCACTACACAGAATGGGAGTTTATCACACGGACACTGGCCATCACTGCAACGATACAGAAACAGTTGAACAGCTATTGTTACACTGCAACCACGCTCAACACTTTTGGACGACAATCCAGCAACTTGCTGATAACGTCTCCGACCGAAAACTGCCACAGACCGAAACTACCAAACTTTTCTAAAAAAATATATTCCTGATACTACCGGCGGCTTTTTTTTCAGTTTTATGACACTCATTATTTTATTGAGCGTCAGTGTTTGATTATCATCACCATTTTCGTAATTTAATAAATTTCATAAGCGTTCCGGGAGTTCCCGTGAAAAAAAGTATATAAAACAATAATGTAAACGCGGAGTAAAAAAACCATCCTGTCCCAGCAAAACAGTTAACTTATACAGGGTGTATAAAAAAAATGTCCAAAATGTAAAATTTTCGTTTTTCAGGATATTTTGTAGAATTTGGCAAATTTTTGTGTTCCTAGAGATGGTTAAGACTTATTTGGTATACCTAGGCCATGTTTGGTTTTTCATTAACAAAATTATGTTACCGGGGGGTGGTTCCTTTCCACTGATATTGAGAGGGCTTGCACGCGAAAATGTGAAGCTGAAATTGAGATATTATTTAGCTATCTAATAGTAGGAAAGCTTTTTAATAAACTGTCAAAGTTTCAGGAAAAATAATGTATCGTGGGAGCAACGCTCGACCCCTAAATGTGACAAATATTCCATTGCGCCCAGTGGATTAAATGCATCGTTGATTTTAGCGTGACCGATCTCATGCAAGGGTCGTAAATGGATAAATTAAAGCGAGAAACTGAACAAAAAGACGAAGCGATTTAATAACAAGATTTTTATTCGTGATGTTAATCCTCAACATTTCCACCATTTCTTTCTAAGAAAACTGCGGCTCGACTGAGCATGGTAAACACTGAACGGCGAACCCTTTGTCTGTCTTGCCTCGAATTCTCCATTTCGTTCAAAATTCTTTTTTGCAAATCGCTTACGCTACCACCGGCAAATCTAGGCGAATGGACAGACAAATGGTTCGCTGTCCAGCGTTTAGTATGCTCAGACGAGCCGCAGTTTGCCTAAAATGAAATGGTGGACATGCTGAGGATTAACATCACGAATAAATCGCTTTGTTTTTGTGTTCAGTTTCTCGCTTTATTTTATTCATTTGCCCACCTTGCATGTGATCGGTCACGCTAAAATCAACGATGCATTTAATCCACTGCGCGCAATGAAATATATGTCACATTTAGGGGTCGCGCGTTGCTCCCACGATGCATTATTTTTCCTGAAACTTTGACTGTTTTTTAAAAAGCTTTCCTACTTTTAGACAACTAAATAATATCTCAATTTCAGCTTTACACTTTCGCGCGCAAACCCTCTCAATATCAGTGAAAAGGAACCACCCCCACGGTAACATAATTTTGTTAATGAAAAACCAAACTTGGCCTAGGTATACCAGATAAGTCTTAATTATCTCTAGGAACACAAAAATTTGCCAAATTCTACAAAATATCCCGAAAAACGAAAATTTTACATTTGGGACATTTTTTTTATACACTCTGTATATAGCCATGCAGTAGTAATCAGGTTGACGCATGTGAAAACTTTCTCCTAAAATCTCCTTTAATTTAATTGACACACCTCGGGGTGTGCAATAACCTGCATTATTATTTATGACTTTTCAAAATCCTCTATTGTGATTGACGAGCGATCCGTAAAAACCGATAGATCCCGACTGTGGTTCCAATAAATATTCGGTATCCGGACCAGTATCCCGGATGTCTCATGCAGTTCAGCCATATAATAAACAGATTATTGGTCGTCGCTTGTTCGGCCGTCTGTACTGTGAATATTTTGCATGAACCTCGCTCCGTCGTCGAGAGGTCCATACTAAGGGGTTGTTTACATGAGCCCGGTTACCGAGATTCTCCGAAGCGTGAGAGGACTTTGAGGAAAAAATCTTTTAAAAATTTCAATGGGGACAGGAGTATTTTTAGTTTACCTCTTTACCCAATGGGTTGGCCTGTGCGCTTAGGTTGTTGACTAAACTATTAAAACCAGTCTATTCCCATTTACGCGATCTTTGGGTCATATTTGTATGAGGCAGATTGATGAGTCACTGCTGAGTGCTGATAGGGTACGATTATGCAGCATGTCAACAAAATTTGTCTGACACAGTTCAATAATCAGAGAATTGTCTTGATGCTGAAACTTGAAAGCAAAGAGCAATTTTCCACAAAAGAAATTGAAAAATAAATAAAAAATAAACTTGGAAAAGCTAAATTTAACGTCATTTTTAAGATACGTTTGAATATATTTAACAAATGAATGAAACAATTACCCTGCAAGAACTCGCTATAAATGTATATACCATCAGTGCAAATAGGAATAAACATAGTTACAGAAGAGAAAATATGTAGTGCTAAATTATGCTACATTACATTACTTAAAGATAATCAATTAGCTATATGTAGCTTGTACTGTATAAATCATATAGATACAGCACTACTAAACAACGATAACTGCAAAGAATGTAAACATTATTCGATTTTAGTGTCATCAATTAAAGTGTGTTTTTTCAACAGTCAATCTGACCAGCGTTTATATAGCAATTGATGCGACAGTTCTTCAGTAGGAATAGTATACTGTTAATTTTTGTTATATTCTATAAAATTATATGCTCTATTACATTGTTGAAATTATACACCTGGGCCAAACAAACCATAAAACAAATATAGAATTTTGCTACATTAGTCACAATATTTTAAAGTTGGCAGATGCTTAGTTCCCCCGCGGTATGCTACAAATATTAATTTTAATACGCTAGTGAAACTTGTAAACCTATCCTCCATGAAATTTGTTTTACTGCTTTTAGGTTGTGTTGCCAGACTTGCTCGATCTTCGGCATGATCTTCGTCTGCCGTTATGAAGCAATCATGACGAGCAAATGATTATTAATTTGAGTGATTTCATTCATAAATTTATTCAGGATTTGGACATTATTATTAAACTTCAAAATTTGACATGTTCCAATGGCAATCCGTTACCGTGCATGCATGTGAATGGGGCTTTAGTCTCTTGCAAAATTATAAACTCTCGGTAGTTTTTAACCACAAAGTTTTTTAACAAGCGATATAAACCAATTCTTTGCGATCACGAAACGAGATAAATCCATAAACTAGCCTTGGTTATTAATGTCCGAAAAATTTGGCAAAAACAGTGTGTCATCAACATGTCTTATACATGTTGCCAGTAAAGGTTTTCGTTTCTCAATTTCTAAAAAAACGAGTTTTGGTTTATTTATATCAATTTTTTCCAGTTATAAAACATTATACATCGTAAATATAACGCATTCGCTGGTAATACGATAATTTCTGGTGGTGATTAAAAATGAAGTCAAAACGCACATAGAATGATACCTTACATTACTCGTTACCGTTGTTTGGTCTTTAATGAAAATACTTAGATTTCCCTTATAATATAGGTAATTATAATGTATACACTGGGTGCAGGAAAAGGAGTTTTTTTAGAAAAGAAATACTTTACAGATATTTCAGGTTAGTGCGATTGCATTGGTTGTAAAATAATCAGTTGAAACATTTTTTAGCATGGAAGAATTAGATAGTGGGTTCGATACCGATAATGCTGGCGTGTCAGTGGAAAACAAAAACGACACAAAAACAAAGGTCGAGCGGTATCAAATTATCATAGCGCGAAAGTCACCTAAGCGATTTTTCAATTTGGGACGAAGTTCTTTTGGCAGAGTGACCAATGAAATAGCCATGAAATAGCCATGAAATAGCCAGTAATTTCTAAAATGCTTTACTTAAAACAATTCATCCTTTTGGATTAAACAAGTACAATGTACGGCACGTTGCTTAGCTATATTTTGCATAAAACTTCGTTTATTTAAAATCGTCGTGAAGTTGTCAAATATTTGTTGACGTTTTTAAAAGAATGTAGGTCTACTAATCTTCTGCTACGGATTTTTTTTCAAATAATTACGTACCGTAACTGTATGAAAACGCATTAATTATATATAATATTCGCCCCAAGCATAAAGCCAGTAACGTAGCCAGCCTGCATGGCGTTTAGACCCACTATCTTAAAGAATTATGAAGGATTTATAATTGGCTCCTTTTCTCACAAACCCCGTGTACGACATTGGTCTTGATAAAATGAATGGAATGTAAAAATTAATTATATATAAAACACCCGACAAAATATTTTTTGCCTTCAAATAATGTTCGATTAATATATGATTATCATTAACGTAAATTATGTAAAATTCATACTTAGGAATGTAAAATGGATTCATTCATCTTCGATGCATGTCGAGCTATTTTGTCCAATTTAGCTACACACTCGTAAGCAGCTAAACGCTCTTTTGGAACGGTTGACCAACATTGCTTTATAAGTGACGCATACGTTTCCGCAATACCCCCTACGGCTTTGCATTTTGGTCTGTGGCCATTTGCAATCAACTCACGAAATTTCTTGAATGATATATTGTGAAGCTCATTGTAAACTACCTCACCATACCACATCTCCCACAAGATCAGCCCGAAACTGTAAATATCAGCACTAGCATCACAAATTTTGCCAGCAAATATTTCTGGGGCCATGTACACGGGTGTTCCAGCTATCGTCCCTGTCACTTCTGTTATATTCTTGGAAATACCAACATCAGCTATTTTCATGCAATTGTCTTTCCCAAACTGCAAAATAATTTCAAACAATATAATGAATAGAAGAAATACAATGGAAATATAATGAAAATATAACATTGATCTATACGTTTCGCCGGTTAGGGCTTCATCAGTAGATAAAACCTTTTATTATTTATTTGAAAGAATTCAAAGTCTGTGATTGGCTAATAGCCATGTGTGAAATCGTCATATCAAACGTGTGACGTCATAACGTGTGATACGACTTTTTTTAGTGTGATAAATAGTCGTATCCCACGTTTGACGTCACACGAATGGCGAAGACATCAACAGAATGGCTTCTTTAAGTGAAAGGTTCGGCAACTTTGAGGAATATATGTTCGTTCTTTTAAATAAATAATAAAACATTTATTGAATTCGGTTTTCACATGATATGAAGAATTATCAATTCTCAGTTTGACAAACTTCGGCTTGATAATTCTTCATATCATGCTCAACCTCATTCAATAATTGCTGAATATCACACAACAATAATATCACACGCCTCTTTTTGTAAATTTTTTATCTACTGATGGAGCCCTAACGGATGGTTAACGTTAATGGTTGATTTGATCTTGTTATTTATATCGTCAAGTATTACTTTACTGACTTTTCCAAGTTCGCTCTTTGCAGGGTTGATGATGCGACATTTAGGATTCGTATCAAAGTTCATAATACGTGCATAATACGTGCAGATGAAAACAAATGTTTAAACAAGCACTCTGAATTGTTTTCAAAATGCTGCCATAGGAACAAGTTTAATGCCGGAAATTTTAGGCGCGCACAAGCATAAGCGCGTGACAGAAGAGTAACCGTTGATGCATGACGTAATTAGATATTATATGGAATTTTTGTTTAGTCGCCTGATGATGCTTCATACCACAGAGGACTACACAGAGGTGGAACTCGCGGCAAATTTTGTCCCCCTGTCGATTTTTAGCAGAAAAAAAATCCAATTTTAAAGCCAAGGGTCTTTTGCTCTTCGTTTTTTTGAAAAATTTTATTTACCCATCCGACATTGCCCCTTTTGGGTTAAAAATGACGGCGATAATACGAATTAAAACGGGGGAAAACAGGAAAAAACGGGAAATACAACTACGAGGAGTGCGATTTTCACACGAAGCTTCTAGAACTGCCAGGTAAAAAATCAAAGTTTGGTGTTTCATCTAATAAATGTAGGTCTATTTCTAGATGGCAAAACAATCTTCTCAAAGTTAACTTTTGAGCACATGACATATCAAGACACTGAGTTCTACTGTTCAAGATAGCAAGTTAGATGGCTATTAAAAACGTTTTATAACGTATAGGCATGCGTTTACTGATATTCGTGAACCCTATAATGTCTCCTATGTGTATTATTATTTCACTTTGGACGATTCGGACCCTATTCGGGCTGGTACCAATGGAAATTCTATAACTGAATTATCTAGCAGCAGCATGCAGCAGCAAGGTTAGACAATGGTTCTAGAATTAGAGCTTGCATATTAGTATAAGAAATTTATGTTATTCATATATAGGTTAGCTTTTATATTACCCTTCTTATGCATTAACTGCTCAAATTATTTAGGCTTAGTGTAAATTCATTCATGTAATTATTCTCAACAAAAAGCCTTGTTCTTGAATCTATCCATGCAATGCACATTCTACAACATTAAAACTCCAGGACACATTGAGTTAGGACACATTGAGTTCATCGCCCTTTTATAGTTTCAGAGCACAAAATATTTGCATTTTTCATTAAATATTGACATCCAAAAATTGGAAAATAGCTTTCAATCTTCCCATAGAAACCACACAGAATTGCATGGATTAGAAATTGATTTACATGGCCTTCATAAGTATTACAATTATGTATGAACTGAAATTAATATCTGTTAGCATTTACCATTTGTTTGTAAAGTTGGATTTATACTCATGTAAAAAGTATTGTAGATATAGGTAAAAGTTGCAAACTAAACGCTGTAATTTATGCCTATCCGAGAAATTTATCATCATATGTCATCCTGAATTAAGCTCTTTGAACAAGCGTAACGAACTTGTTTCCACATGCCGGCATCGAAAGAAGTTTTTGCTATAAGTAACACCTAGTAACCAACTACATGTAATACGACCTAATTAATTTTGCATCTCTTGTATATAGTCGCTGTGCTGTTGTAATTATATATTATTTACCTGATGAGTGTGGCAAGCGCAACGCTTGTCATACGAAACAGTTCTGTTGTAAATAAAATTCGATGAAGTAACTCGTGTTTTTCATCCTGTGTTATATATATATATATATATATATATATATATATATATATATTTATATATATATATATATATATATATATATATATATATATACACCCATTTGCAAAAACGTTGGACGCAGATGGATATATTGATAGATACTCCAGATCTAATAATAATTGCAAATGTCGTGTAATATTATAGAAATCTCATGCAAATCTAATCATATGCAATTCTAATTAGACTTCGAGTAATTATCTATCTATCTATCTGCGGCCAAAGTTTTTGCAAATGGGTGTATATATAAATATATATATATATATATATTATATATAATTATATATATATATATATATATATATATATATATATATACAGTAGGAGGCAAAAGTTTGAGTCCAGTGACTGTATTTCATTGTTTTAGCAGCATATATTAATATTCTACAGAAAACCTTACCGATAAGTGAACTACAAAAAAGTACACGAGTAAACAGAAAAATACATGCTGTACAACAACTATGAGACGTTATGATATTCATTTTACGTATGTTAATGTGCAAAAATGCATTTCATGTCAATGCTTAGTGTCCCTCTTTTTTGCTCTTGAAATGACGTTTATTCTTGCTGGCATAGACTCCATAGGTTTCTTAATGTCGCACGTTTAATACCTTGCCAGAATTCGTTGACCACTTGCCTCAAGTCATTCTGGCTGGCGGGTCTGTGCCTCGCCCTTTTCCGGTTAAAACGGTCCTACAAGTACTCGATAGGTTTCAGATCTGGAATTTGAGGTGGAAAGCCATGAGAACGAGATCACCAAAACGAGTTTGCTTCTAAACGATTTCTGGCACATAGAAGATGTGCAGGTGTTTATGGGGATTATCATGTAGTTACACACGCGATCATCCTTGTACCAGATGAAATTCCATGTCCTTGAAGAATTGGATGATACTTTACTTTAATTAGGATCCTATTATATCTTTCAATATTGCCAAACCGAGCATGACGGAAGAAGCTAAAAGTTTGCTTGAGTAGGATTTAGTTTCTTCGAACCTCTCCAAGGTTAGTTGCATACCACCTTTTTAAATTCTCACTTTTTCTGCGATCTTACGAGGAAAGAATCCCTCAATACTTAATGCAACTATTTGTCCTTGTGCACCATCACTTTGCCCTTTTTCCCACCAATCTTGGGCAGTGTAAAGGAATAAGAACTTTATTTTGTTATAATTTAGATCATTAGGACCAAAACAGTGTGTAATTAATATGGTTTACAGTACTGAAACACTAATACGCATGTCTTACTCGAATACACTGCCAGGGTTTAATACTGGAATTCTACAACGACTGGACTCAAACTTTTGCCTCCTACTGTATATATATATATATATATATATATATATATATATATATATATATATATATATATATATATATATATACCCACGCGAGGTTTTGCGTGCATGATAATTGCGAATTTGGCTATCGTTGTCGTTGCTTACTTCCCTAAAATGCCAAGACCATATTCAGATGATTTGCGCTGGAGAATGGTATATTAACGTATATTTTTTGAAAGAAGTAACGATGAGGTTGCATCTCAGTAATTTGTCTGCCCCAAAACTGTTTACCGAACAGTTAGCACTTTTCTTGCCACGGGTGATGTGAAACCATGCCATCTTGGTCGCCCCGGCACAATTTTGTTTCCTTATGAAGAGTACATCATCATGGACTGCCTTCTGCGAACACCTCAAACACAGCTTAGCGAAATAGCAAATTACATTACCAACGCTACTGCATGGCTCTGCTTTTGGTCCACAGACGTTGTGTCGTGCACTCTGCAGGCTTAAGGAATAACACGCAAGAAGGTAAACATGAATATATAATAATATCTAGCCATTATACCTTCATGAAATAAGGTATAAAACATATAATCTCGAATACAACTTCCATCTTCAACACAATATTTGAAAAAAGAACAGAGAGTATAAGGTTCAATAGCAGTATTTCGAATTTATTATATAGTACTAGATATTCCGTAATTTATTATAGAGTACTAAATACTCCGAACGATGATAAATTTGTAATAACTTTGAGATTCTTTATAATATACAGAAGTTTCATGTTTTCCATGCTAACGTTGGCTAAATCTCAAACAATAACTATTGCAGCTTAATTTTCAACTTTTTAAAAGCAATTTCTCTTGCAGATACACCGAATTGCCATGCAACGGAACGATGACCTGAGGCAAGAATTCAAAGCAGAAATCAGCGTTTTGCATCCAAACCAAATTGTTTTCCTCGACGAAACAGGAATTGTATGTATATAGAAATTATTAGGCTGTACCCTTTTCTAAAACCCTGCTACACAAGCTGTATATATTCACTTTTTCCTTTTATGTATAGTTGTGTTTTGTTTTTGTTTATAAGGATAAACGAATTGCTCGACAGTTCGGATATAGCGCTCGTGGAACACCTGCTATTGTTTAGGACTTTAGCTATATGCACGATGGGCGCCTCATTATTCGGCAATTTCAGCGATATCGAGTGACGGGATTCTGGCTAACGGTTTGCTAAAGAATGCAGATGAGAGATTTGACACTCACTCTTTTATACGGTTTCTTGATGAGCAACTTTTACCAGCAATGAATGTGTTCAATGGGGAAAACCCGCGATCCGTCCTCGTAATGGGTGAGAATCCAATTAATATATACGCGTGCATGTGTATTTCGGCAATGTCTCAAGGCACTTTACAGTCTCGTATTATACAGAAACTAAAGGGCATGCAGACAACAATTCTTTGAGGTTAGTATGCCAACTATACCCACCCAACTACATCTATAGGTTGTTTAGATAAGATGAGAAATGCGTGCAAGATAAATTATGATTGTATGTGCCATTCGTCAATAACATGTTTCTCCTATTTTTACATGCAGATAACCATCCAGTGCATCATGCCCAAGAAGTGATCGATCACATTTATGACTCAGGAGTAATTATCCGCTTTTTACCACCATACAGTCCTGACTTGAACCCAATCGAAGAGGCTTTTGCCGAAGTGAAACACTATTTACGACAGTATTGATTTAGTATTGCAACGATTTAGTATTGCAATCATGTAACGAAGGTATAAGCTCTACTGATCATTAGTTTTAGTCGCACAATTTTAATGTAATTTTGAATTTATCTGTGCGGATGCTTCTTGTTCTCTTAGGATCGTTTTCTTATACTGGATATCCCCATAAGTTCTACATATTTACTTTTTAGGAAATGCGGCTGGACAAGCGAGAGTTTTTCGAAAGGAAGATCAGGTGCTTGCAATAATAGGGGAGTTGAAACAACTTCATGGAAATCAACTTCCACCCTATAAGTACCGATTATGGGCAGAAATGATTGTAAGTATTTAAAAAGTAGTCCTATTCCATGAGCCATGCACGATTGACGCTATATGTACCTATTATAATCTCGGGCAAGCTGAACGCATGTTTATCTACATTAATTGACACCGTAAGCTTATTGCCTTTCAGGTAGTTGGAACTGCAACAAAAGATAGCATACCAGATGTGCCGATGTTTTCTTCAAATCCAGCTAAGCGTCCACGACGAGAAGGGTTAACCCATACGTTAACCGCGGTAGGAGAGTCAATTACCAATGCTTTAACGCCGCGAGTGGCCACACGAGAAGTGCCAGTTGAACAGGTATTGAATTGTGTACGATAAACCTCGAGGGTTAATTGTTAATAAAAAGACGCCTTTACGCCGCGATAATAAACATTACGAACTAAATTATTTTCTATAGGTGGAAAATGATAAATGCTATATATGCAGGAAGAGAGAAGGCCAAATTACGGTCAGAGCTAGGTTACCAAGCAAGTTAAAGAACTATTTGACTTAAAACAAATGGGGGCAATTACGGTTGAAGAGTATAAAGAGAGAAAGAGTTTGCTACTAAACGATATTAACTGATGGTAGTTAGCAAATAAATATAAAATTCCATGGAAAGTTGATGTCATAATTTTGAATATAGATAAACGGATTTACAAGCTTACCCGTGATATTTAAAGTTTAAATAACAACAATACCACAATTTGGTTGTAACCTCATTCGCACTGCGAGTTGTTAGATGAAAGTTGTTTCGAGTATAGGGCCTTTATATCAAGTTAAATTATACACAGTTTCGGTTTATATTTTTCTTATGTACGCCACAACGCTGGTGACACGCAACGCTATATAGGCTGCATACTTGTATAACGGAGCCATGCATGCTATCATGCACTTTCAGTAACCTAAGAATATTATATTATCGAGGGAACTTTAAGCATTGCGTTTCAAATTTTCCCGTCTAACATGGATATATATCGTCGTTATAATTAGAGCCTCTATAAATACATAAGATGAAATAATATTTTGCAATTTCCGCGGATCAAATAATTATAGCCAGCGTGATGCATGTACCCCAGACAATCACTGAATGTTATTTGCCCAAAAGCTTCCCATATAAGCGGGCTAGGATCTCGCACTGATTGCAATACCAAATAGTTGCAATACTAAATCAATACTGTCGTAAGTAGTGTTTCACTTCGGCAAAAGCCTCTTCGATTGGGTTCAAGTCAGGACTGTATGGTGGTAAAAAGCGGATAATTACTCCTGAGTCATAAATGTGATCGATCACTTCTTGGGCATGATGCACTGGATGGTTATCTGGATGTAAAAATAGGAGAAACATGTTATTGACGAATGGCACATAAAATCATAATTTATCTTTCACGCATTTCTCATCTTATCTAAACAACCTATATATAGATGTAGTTGGGTGGGTATAATTGGCATACTATAACCTCAAAGAATTGTTGTCTGCATGCCCTTTAGTTTCTGTATAATACGAGACTGTAAAGTGCCTTGAGACATTGCCGAAATACACATGCACGCGTATATATTAATTGGATTCTCACCCATTACGAGGACGGATCGCGGGTTTTCCCCATTGAACACATTCATTGCCGGTAAAAGTTGCTCATCAAGAAACCGTATAAAAGAGTGAGTGTCAAATCTCTCATCTGCATTCTTTAGCAAGCCGTTAGCCAGAAGCCCGTCACTCGATATCGCTGAAATTGCCGAATAATGAGGCGCCCATCGTGCATAGCTAAAGTCCTAAACAATAGCAGGTGTTCCACGAGCGCTATATCCGAACTGTCGAGCAATTCGTTTATCCTTATAAACAAAAACAAAACACAACTATACATAAAAGGAAGAAGTGAATATATACAGCTTGCAGTAGCAGGGTTTTAGAAAAGGGTACAGCCTAATAATTTCTATATACATACAATTCCTGTTTCGTCGAGGAAAACAAGTTGGTTTGGATGCAAAACGCTGATTTCTGCTTTGAATTCTTGCCTCAGGTCATCGTTCCGTTGCATGGCAATTCTGTGTATCTGCAAGAGAAATTGCTTTTAAAAAGTTGAAAATTAAGCTGCAATAGTTATTGTTTGAGATTTAGCCAACGTTAGCATGGAAAACATGAAACTTCTGTATATTATAAAGAATCCCAAAGTTATTACAAATTTATCATCGTTCGGAGTAAATAGCTACGGAATATTTGGTACTATATAATAATTCGAAATATTGCTATTGAACCTTATACTCTCCGTTCTTTTTTCAAATATTGTGTTGAAGATGGAAGTTGTATTCGAGATTATATGTTTTATACCTTATTTCATGAAGGTATTATGGCTAGATATTATTATATATTCATGTTTACCTTCTTGCGTGTTATTCCTTAAGCCTGCAGAGTGCACGACACAACGTCTGTGGACCAAAAGCAGAGCCATGCAGTAGCCTTGGTAATGTAATTTGCTATTTCGCTAAGCTGTGTTTGAGGTGTTCGCAGAAGGCAGTCCATGATAATGTACTCTTCATGAGGAAACAAAATTGTGCTCCCGTTTGGGCGACCAAGATGGCATGGTTTCACATCACCCGTGGCAAGAAAAGTGCTAACTGTTCGGTAAACAGTTTTGGGGCAGACAAATAACTGAGATGCAACCTCATCGTTACTTCTTTCAAAAAATATACGTTAATGTACCATTCTCCAGCGCGAATCATCTGAATATGGTCTTGGCATTTTAGGGAAGTACGCAACGACCACGATAGCCATGCAAACTCGCAATTATCACGCAAAACCTCGCGCGGGTTGATGCATATCTTTAGCGGTCACGTGCGCGATATTTATGTATTTATATATATATATATATATATATATATATATATATATATATATATATATATATATATATATATATATATATATATATATATATATATATATATTCAACATTTGTCCTCCAGTTGGGAAAACGGGCTATGTTTACTTACCTTTTATATCAGTTAATTTGTTTTCGAAAAATAGAAATATGAACTTTTGACTCATTTGAGTCATTTCACAATAAAATTTTGAGCTTTATTTATTATAAGATCTGACAGCTCAGAAAATATTTTGCATGCATGTATTTCAATGTATTTCTAGGCGATTTCAACAAGCTTGTTAACATCCCAACGGGAGGAAGCTAAACTTTTGATATTGTTTTGACCAATCTTTATGATTTCTGTACGATTAGCCTGGAAGATATGGGCTTTAATTCCCGAAAGATCTTTCTCCGGAAATTACAAAAAATCAGTTGTCATAAAGAAAAAGTTTGCGTATTCCTGTGCAGAGCGACTGTTTTAGAATGCATGGTTTAAACTTGCTTGGACTACATTATGTCTTTACAAACAAGCACAGTCAGAATATTTCAACACTTAAGCTTCTTAAAGTAAAGAAAATCCAGGTGTTTTTCTGTTATGGCACCCAAAAAGAAACTACAGAATACTAAACCATAAAGCATATCAATAAAATTAATTACGCGGCAGAATATTGTAATGACAAATTTAACTTACAAGGATGTTTTCAGGCTTTAAGTCCCGATGAACAATACCAAGTCCATGCAGATATTCAAGCCCCGCCGCAATTTCCTTTGCTCTTTGTAACACAGATTTAATTTTTTGAGCTACATTCTCTCCTGGTGCGTTTGCTGGAATACAATCTGGATGGTCAAGGAGAAATTTCCTTAAACTTTCTCCGCATAATTCCATCACGAAGACAAATTTCGAACCACTCGGACCAGGCTGCAAAGCTCTTCCATAAAACTTTATTACATTCTTGTGGTCAAGTTTTCTGAAAGAGCAAAATAATTATATCACTCAGAATGCAACGAAGCCCGCGTGATCAAATACTGACGCAACAAAGCCTTGCTTAATTTCAAAGAATTTTAAGGCAGTTTTGTTGTAAAAAATGGGAAAAAGGGACCATTTGGCGTTAGCAAAACTCAAAATCTGCCATCTTTTTTTGCTTCACTTTCTGGCCGCGAACAAGTTCTCCAGGAATTATAACTATAGCTCAGTGTTTCTACCTAATGATAGTTTTCAGGTTAAAGTAAGCTGTGCAGCACAAAAACTTTTTAATATTAACCCATGTATGCCTAAAATAAGGTCTCAAACAATGTTTAGCTAATATCGTACAGCACAGCACAGCACAACACAACACAACACAACACAACACAACACAGCACAGCACAGCACAGCACAGCACAGCACAGCACAGCACAGCACAGCACAGCACAGCACAGCACAGCACAGCACAGCACAGCACAGCACAGCACAGCACAGCACAGCACAGCACAGCACAGCACAGCACAGCACAGCACAGCACAGCACAGCACAGCACAGCACAGCAAGCACAGCACAGCACAGCACAGCACAGCACAGCACAGCACAGCACAGCACAGCACAGCACAGCACAGCACAGCACAGCACAGCACAGCACAGCACAGCACAGCACAGCACAGCACAGCACAGCACAGCACAGCACAACACAACACAACACACCACAACACAACACAACACAACACAACATAACATAACATAACATAACATACCTCAACATTTGTTCTTCTGCTAACAGCATGGAAGCATTCTGTGTTGTGAGCGCTTCTTTGCAGACTTTAACAGCAACATCCAACGATTTTCCTTCCTGTGTTGTCATCTTTCCTTTAAAAACATCTGCAAACGACCCATGACCAAGTGAGGATTCCTTAGTGTACTTTAGATTTTTAAAGTCAATATCACTAAGGAAAACCCCATTGATGGCAAAAATGGATAAATCATCCATTATTTTAGAGCATTCTTCATATATAGGGGTGTATTTATTGGCATCTTGCAATATCGACCCACTCTCTTTAATAAGTAGATTAATGAATTCTTTGTCAGCGGCAATCATCGCTGGAATTTTTTTCTTTATCTCGTCGAGGATGTTGCGTATTTCTTCAAATTGCCGTAAGACATAGGGATGAAACTTACTTGGATCGATTGAATGACGAAGAAAATCGATAGCTTGGTTTTTCATATATTTCGGTTTATTGTTACTATACTCCTTAAGATTTCCCGATGTTTGAACGGCGTTTTTTATTGCAATTACACCTAAAACAGGTAGGCTAAGAATTCCAGCAACCAGTACCACAGGTACCAAAATTGGAGATAGTACTCCGACCAAAATTTTTTCTCCGGTTGTCAGCGTTGCGTCGTCTTCTGTAGATCTGACTTCAACAGGATCTTGAACAACGTAATCTTCCACACTTTGTATACGCGCATGAAGATTATCTCTTTCCCTTGTTATGTGATTGAACAATAGTTTCCGAGCGTTTTCAATAACATTATTCCGAGTTTCCCACTTTCTAATTTCCACTGTAAGCCTTTGCTTTAACGCTTCAGAAATTTTTTCCTCTGTTTCTTCCCACGTTTTTTGCGCATGGGGGCATTCATCTTCATCCCATGACTTGAAATTGGTCTCAAAAGTGCTTGAAGAAAGATATTTTAGGATTTCGTGAACTGTTTTCGCGGTTATCTTTTTAAACTCTTCTTCCAGGCGATCAACCTGTTTAATGCGTTCACCTTCAATCACGGCTAAGATTAAAATAGCTTTCGTAAGATCATCTGCCAAATTATCTCTTTGGGCTCGATTTATTACTAATTTTGTTAGAAATATCACCCTGGAAAGGACATCATTTAACCACCTAAAAAATAAAGGGTATTTGTCTTTAATTTTAAATGGCATAATATTCGAACCCTAAAAAAACTATAAACCCAGTAAACCCAGTAGTAAAATCATAAACCCAGAGTAAAACAAGGGAAGACACGGGTGAACGCTATCAACACAATATACTTAGTACACGGAACAAAAGTTAACATGTAACAAAATTTGAATTACTGCAGTTGCATAGACGACATTACTGCATAGATGAATCCTATATATACGTATACGATGTTCCACGGGAAAACTTACGTTAAGGCTTTTCAGTTCGTTTTAAAAAAATAATTTCGTTCATCTTATGTTCGTTTGCGCGTTTGAACGATCAGCCTTTCGTTAAACGAAAACGATTTTGGAAAATGTTTGAAATTCCCATCCGATGGGATACAAATATATGAAAATTGTTTAAAAAAACGTTCGAGCATTTTCATTTGGTGTTCAACGTTTCCCAAGATTTTGAATTTGATAAAACATTTGGTGAAACACTTGCAAGGTGCTAATTAACTTAACAAAAATTCAAAAAGAGTTCAAGCGCGGGAACCGGGCTAAAGTATTTTTCAATTACATGCTAGTACAGTTTCAGCCCGGGCTGTGTTTATGACATGTCAGAATTATTTTAAGACAAAACTGAAATTACAGCTCGGACCAAGTTTGTAAAGGCTGGTAATAGACCTATTTCGATTCTTCGAGCGCTTTAAAATGCCGAATGACAATACCTTGACCTTTAAAGGACTATGATTGCACAAAAAAATGAAATAAACAAACGAAAAAGCATTGCCAATGCTAATTTTTCTGTCCGGGTTTAAGTTTGATTACGACGACAGGATACTTACAACACTAAATTCCAGCCCAGGTAGCTCAAACCGGGCTGCAGGAAACTGATGAGACGATGAAACGATCATCCGGCCGTTCAATGTTCATCACAGTTTTCCTGCTGGATTTGAAAGTACGCACTTGAAATTTCATTGGACACCATTATGGAAACCATTATGGTCCGAGAAGTTAAAGGGAAATGATGTAAACTGAGTTAACTTGCGTGTTTGTGAAAGCTAGCTATGTATCATATGATCGTATTTGCCCATGCACGTTACTGCATGAAGAATTCTTCTTTAATATAAAATTATTGCCAGGAAAAAAGATGGTTTTCATGCGCCGTAGGCGTCAGTATATTTATTGAATTATAAATTGTAATATTGCTTCTCAACTTTTTTTGAATTTTCCTGAAAGGAGTTTATCGTTATTATCAGCAGCGGCGTATAGCCAGCCCGACAATTTAGTCATGCTATGCTAATACGTATTTCGGTGTTCATTGACTGTGAAAACCATGAATTTCTAAAGAAATAAATAATGATAATAAAATAAAATTTGCATAGCATGACTAAATCGTCAGGCTGGCTATGCCACCGGTTATAATCAAAATTCCAACAGCTCTGTACCGATAGCTTTTCTAGGCTGATGCAGTTCTTGTATATAAGGAATAATAAACAATTATTGGATGAGGTTTTTGTGATATGCAGAGTTAGCTATCAAGGTCGAGGTAAGCGTTATCAGCCGAGCCGATCACAAAAACTGAATAGAATAGTAAACATAGTATTAACGAATGAAAAACCTTATCTAATAGCGAATGGCAATATCCAAAAATACATAAATTTTTGTATAATAATCATTAATACATAGATACATTCAAATGAATACCGCTTGTTAACCACCGCAGGCTCACTTGCAGATAGCTCAGTTATCTGCTAGCAGATAACTGAATTTCGCGTGCATGATTGCGCGATTTATCTGTCAACTATTAGCCAATTTTTTTAATAATGCAATTATGTCTCGAACAATAATCCCTTTTAATATCAATCCACTCTACATGCGCGAGGCCTGCCATTGAGTATAGCTGCGAAGTTTTCAATTTTGCCCTGCCCAACTATCTGAGTGACGCTATTGAGCAAGTACAAAGAAGTATCACCTACTAAAGTGCAACCTTATTCCCCTAAGTGAACGGTGATACAAGGCCTGCTCAAAAGTATTTCATCAGCACATCAATGACCTACATCATAAATTATCATCCCTCCTACCAGACCATCACTCTGTGAATTACGACCTAAGGAAAGTCCCCCAGTGTGCTGGACGCAGTCCTCCAACCTCGACTGCCACGAACACACTACGCGAGCTCTAAGAAAAGCAAAGACAATCTTTCGCCGTAACCAGCTAACCACCATAGATGGAGAATGACTCTTCTTGTCAGCCAGCTTCAACTAACCCATGGTTAAATTTTATTAACTATAGCCTTACGGTCTGTTTACATGGAGCGAGTTATCCCGGCTAGGCGAGGTGAAAACTGCATATAATGAAAGACTAATCAGGTTAAACCTTTGATGTGGTGCGCTTTTTACCTCGCCCAGCCGGGATAACTCGCTCCATGTAAACAGGCCCTTAAATATTTTATTAAATAAAATGAACAAGCTAAGTCGCCTGCATATGTATTATTACTTGAAAAATAACATTATATAGATGTCAACTTTAGTCCTTGAAGATTTTTCCATTTTTGATGTTTTTCGGTTGAAGTTTCGAGATGTTGGCTTTTCCTCGAGCCTGCGCGGAGTGCAGTGCGAGGGTACTAATTCCGCCCGGAGATTAGGAATTTTACCCGGGTATTGTCATAGAACATAGCGGAATCCAAAGTTGTCCAAATTCTATGTCATGGACCGTGAACATTGGACGTTCAATGGTCATGGTATTTGGCGCATGCGTGAAATGTGAACGAGTAAAGACTGGTAATTAGCAACTGTTGATTGGCTAAGATAGAATTCTTTTATTTCATTGAAAAACGTCAGCAATTGAGCTGTCATTTTTCCAATTTTTTTTACCTTGCTTCGTATTATAAAACTTTTTAAGGTGGCTGGATACAGTTTTTAAAAATTCCACTGTTCATGACACGTTCAAACAACGCATTTTTATGATTTATTCCAGAGATATTGGGGTTTTTGCATATTTTGATGTCTCTACTTTTGAATCGTATTAGTTTTAGTAACAGATCGTCTGTTGCTATGGCAACATACGTGTACAAAATTCATTCCAAAATGACCAATTGCTTCGGATAGTTGGAAAAGAAGCGCGGTGACCCCAAATTTTTTTGGTGTATTATTTTACTTGGAAGAAAAACTAACAAATAGCAAAATTTAAAAAATTCTATAATGCCACATTTTTGAAAAATACAAAATGACTTTTTTTTGATAATTTTTTTTTTCCATTTTGGAATTTTTCTAAATTTTGCTAATTGTTAGTTTCTCTTTCAAGTAAAATAATGCACGAAAAAAAATTGGGGGTCACCGTGCTTCTTTTCCAACTATCCGACGCGACTGGTAATTTTGGCGAATGGACAAACAAATAGTTCGCTGTTCAGTGTTTACTATGCTCAGACGAGCCGCAGTTTGCTTAGAATGAAATGGTGGACATGCTGAGAATTAACATCACGAATAAATCTCTTTGTTTTGTGTTCAGTTTCTCGCTTTACTTTATTAATTTGCCCACCTTGCATGAGATCGGTCACGATAAAATCAACGATGCTTTTTTTTTCCACTGCGCGCAATGAAGTATTTGCCACCTTTAGGGGTCGCGCGTTGCTCCCAGTATGCATTATTTTTACTGAAACTTTGACAGCTTATTAAAAAGCTTTCTTACTTTTAGACAGCTAAATAATATCTCAATTTCAGCTTCACATTTTTGCGCGCAAGCCCTCTCAGTGGAAAGGAACCACCCTCCCGGTAACATAATTTTGTTAATGAAAAACCAAACTTGGCCTAGGTATACCAGATAAGTCTTAACTATCTCTAAGAACACAAAAATTTGCCAAATTCTGCAAAATATCCTGAAGAACGGAAATTTTACATTTGGGACATTTTTTTTAATACACTCTGTAGTAATATTATGACACTCTACCTCCACTCAGCTTCAAGTCTTGCAGCAATAGTTTTGAGCATCATTGTTTTGATTGCGTCCATAACTGTAACAAACGGTTCAGATTTAATCCCGAAACCTTGAGCTTCAACTGCATTGGTGGTTGACATTTGAACCACCTGGGTCTTTGGATTCAAATTTGGCCATGTTTTTCTGAGACGATCGATTGTATATTTTTTGACATCGGTTTCTTCATTACTTTTGATTAGGTCCCATTTATTGCAGATGAACACGGCACGTTCACAAAGAAAGCATTCAAGGGATTGGTTTTTAACTCTCTCCAAAAGCTTGAGTATCTAGGAAAAATTTATTTTATGAGTGTACCAAATGACTAATATAGCTACGTACTGACATAGCTACGTACTGTATTTGAGCCATTTGGCAATCTGATTGGTCGAAAATACCCATGCATCGTATTGATGCCCATATAAATTATTTTCAGTGCGCAATTATAGGGATCCAAGTATATAGGGCAAAGTTTTCATGACCTCTAATACCTAAGCAACCAGACGTTTATCCTAATATAAATAAGTCGACTTCTACCAGTAAAAATCTAAGGAGCCCGGTTAAAGATTACCCTGAATCAAGCACGAATTCTATTTCTAATAGTCAATTACTATGATTGCTCAATATTACAAAAAAACGGCAACATGGCAATATTTCTATGCTTCTTTTAGCAAGGTATACCTTGTCATTGTAATTCCAAATAATTATATTTGTTCTATGGTTAAATGCGTACTAAACAGTTGCCATGCAAATGGTACATTGTGAAAATATATTACAAAAGCATGGAAATATTATACGCAAAGAACTCAAATTAAAAATATAACGTTGACGAAATAAGTTGATAAGATTTTGAATTATTGTACGAACTTTAGAGAATTAATTTTGCTATGGCTGATGGTTTGACAAATTATCTCAAAAAAGTTCAAGTATGGTGTCTGAATTTATTATGTAAATTATTCCAGACTTGTGAGTTAATGCAGTTTTCAGTATAAAGTTATCACTCACAACGAGCTAGTTTAATGTAAAAATGGGAAGACGTCCGAATTATTGTCATAACATGCAGTGGCATGACTACACATTATATACACTTCAAATCTGAAAGATGCTAAAAATGTACCACTGAACAGTAAAGAAGGCTACTGGAAACATCTTTTACAGACAAGAACGAAAGAAATAAAAAGGATTTTTGGACATTTCCAACTGGGACGTACAAGAATTAACGAGAACTTATCTCAACTGTAAATTATCCCTTGCTCATTAGCAGGAAAGTGTTTACAAGAAAACATAAACGAGATAAGTGGTGTAGAATTCCTAAACAAATTGGCTCCATTATGAAATCCAATCAAAGGTCACTTTGTTTGACACTAAAGAACAAAAAAATAACGTAAAATGTGGGCTAGAGACAACAAGAAATAAAAAGACTTCGGCAAGACAATGTTCACTCACGAAAGCAGGGTCACGTTACATGGGCCCGACGAATGGTCACAAGCTTTAGTTAGGCTTTACAAAACAGAGTAGCGCCGATAAGCAAGAGACAACAGCAATGTGTGGATGGAATCATTATGTAGGCAGGCATTCATGGTGATAACCCTATTGGGACATAATATTAAGTTTACGGGGAGAGTTGACAAGTCAATGTTATGGCCAATTTTTTGAAGAAACATTTTATAAGTGGTATGAGTCTCAAAGTTGGTTTTTTTAAGATAAATAATTGTGATTTTATCCATGATAATCTCCCCTCGCGTGCTCCTAATGCAACTCTTAATGCAACTCTACTAATGCAACTGTTAATTTTTATAGCAAAAACGAATTTCTCGCAAAGACTTGATGACTTGGCGTCCTGCGAGCCTTGATGTTTGCGGTTGGCAGCACTACAACAAAGTTGATCATTGGAATGCTATAAAACAACTTGTAAAGATGTAAAATCAAAAGCAATTGAAAGACAAACTACGGATATTAGTGTTAAGGCGGACATATTGGAATAGAAATAATTAATAATACGGGTGTGTTAGTATCTGTTGTTTGTATAATCTGTTACTGCATGTAAATTGCATTTGAATGTAATGATTTTCTTGTGTGACATCTGGCATTTATTTGTCCCTTTTTTTTGGAAATATATATGAACTCGCACATGTAATGGCACCGATAATAAACTCCGACACCATAATTTTATTCGGTTGTTTGTAAGATAATTTGTCAAACCATCAATCATATATATAGAAAAATTAAACGGTTGTAAATGCCATCATTTCATCCGTGAAGATTTTTCAAATAATTTGACACATAGGAACTGGTAAGGCTAAATAAAACTGATTTGCGTAATAACTTTAGACAAACTGTACATATAAGTGATCAAACAAGTTGTGGTTATAAATAATGGATATTTAAAGGATGGGTAACTTACCCGATCACTTTGAACTCCCCCTGCATTACTGCTGTTAATGACATAAACAAAACAAAACGCGGTCAGAAGATAATCATTCACAACATCATCTAAAACATTTGATTCGCCAATTCCTGGACTGTCAACAATGACTATGTTATTCTATAAAAACAAATGAAAAATTGCAAATTCTCATTACATCGCTTCGCTTGTCATGCAGTTCGGCGGGAAAAGTCCAGTGTTTCTGTACAGTTATAGAAACACGCTTCTTGACCAATCAGAAGGCGGGTCTATAAATATTATATTATAAATGCAGTTAATAAACTATCAAATATGGATAATTCTACCCGGCAATTACAGTAAACGTCTAAATATCAATAAACGCGTGTATTTTCTTTCAAAACACTAAATGTGGCTTTTACAGTTAACAAATTGCGCAAGAAAGCACAACCTGATAACGACACATTTCGAATTGAATCAAATTATCCTGACAGTAGCACGGATGGATGAGCGAACTTTAAGCTAATAGTGAAACAAATTTCAGTAGAAAGGAATGAAACAATGGCAAATGGTAAAGATAGGTAAAGATATCCCTTATCTTGTGGAAGTTTTGCTGTAACCCTGTAACTGCATGATGAATTTCTTAAACACTAACTGCATGTATTTGTCGCACAATATCAAAACAATTTACACCCAAGACTGTAATATGTATGGTGACGTAAGACGAATTTATACACGATGCACGCTATAAAAAATTGCTATTTACTGCCTGCTGCACAAAATAGGATTTTCCCTCTCGCGAGTCGCGTGGCTTTCACGATTAATGTGCACCTCCCTAGCGGTGTATTCATAGTCGCCGCTGTTGTTATGGACTACAAAAATTAATATTCAGCGCTCTAGCAGTGATTACGAGGAGGGCGGTGTCCAAAATGAAAGCAAAATGTAATATCTACTGGTAAATATTAAATTGAATTAATCTCTTGATTACCTTAAGCAAATCGTGAGGCCAAAATAGTTCACATTTTTTGAACGGTGATCCTTTTTCAAGGTCACCCCTTTGATTCAAATATTCTGCCAGTTGATCAAGATAGCTCTGTCCTTCTGCTGGGTCTCGTAAGATAAGCTCTTCTTTGGTTGTCGTCTCGGATTGTAAGGTACGCTTCTCTGGTTTCTGCTCATCTTTGTAATATGCTAAAAGCTTTCTTACCTCTCCATATCTTAATTCACAAATAGTTGCTGTCGCAGGCAGGGTACAAGATGGAAGAATTTCTTCTCCAAGGATTAGGTTGATGAAACTACTTTTTCCGGCGCTAGTCTCGCCTGGATGGTAAAAATGAATAAAATTGACTTTTCACCTTCGGAGTTTGGTTTGGTATGATTTGGAGTTTCTCGTGTATTTGGATAAAAAGTATTTGCTCTTTTTAATTTAAGGGATAAATATCTCGAAAGTTATGCGTCTGAGATATTTTCCCTACATGTCATTCTACTAGGCCTAGCATTCTAAACGGGGAATTTTGGTTAAAGCAATACAAAATTTCGATTGTTAAGATATGATTTTCAATAGACACGGCTTTCATGGAAAACAGGTTCAACTATATTAATGTATATAGGCTTGTACTTTTATCTTCATTATTTTTTTTGTAGCTGAAGCTCCCGTCTTAGACAAAGGTTGATTGGATTGCATTGGATTGCGCTGTCGCTATATTACTTAGCCTTCGGCTAAACGAAGTACAATTATTTTAGTTCATCACAATTTAGAGTTTGTACTAAAAATTTGTTAAATTACCTCTTTTAATTTTTGAGAAATCGTTTTTTAATTGTATAAGCAAAATGAGATTATTCGTTTGCTAAAAAAACGAAATCACTGGAAAGGTTTGGCATATATTCAAAAATTATGGAGATCAATGCAATATAACAATGACATAATAGAATATACCAATAAAACACTTTTGTTAAAAACCTAATCAATAAAATGTTTTCTTAAATTCTCCTACTCTTTAAATAATCATTTCGAAGAGAAAAGATATCCAGGATTGATCATGGAAACTTTTCAAATTGTATCCTATAAAATTTTCAAAACAATTTAAATGGTAATTCTTTTGTATGGTACCCCCATATTCAATTGTGAAGATCAATAATTAAAATAGGTCATGACAATTCTTGACATAAAAAGCGCATACGAAATAGTTCGGCATGCTTCTTTCCTCAAATACCATGTAACGTCCAAACCACTCAATCCACATAGATTTCCTAACTTCATGTGAAAATTGCCTAAATTTCGCATGTTTCTTATTTTTTCTTAACATAAACCAATGTTCATATTAATTTCGAAGCGTAACAAACCTAAATAGTGTTAGTTTTTCAGAGAGCACATCGTATTTTAAGAAATAGTCAAGTTCAAAATGTAAACAAACAGTTTGTTTACATACTGATTTGACTTCCTCTTTAACTAATTTCGTTTAACCGAGGCGAGCCCGGGGTTGCTTCATGCATCTGTTTCTAGTTACATATGAAATAATTTACACAACAAAGTAGCACAACTAAATCACATGTCGAATTTTCCTTGTTATAATGTGATTTACAAATATAATTTGAGATACTTTTACTGTTGACATTTTATTAGTAATATTACCTACCTGCAATAAGAACAACATATTCTTCAACTTGAAGCTTATTCATCCTTAGCTGAATTTCACCAACAATGTTCTTAACGCAAAACTTGGTATTCAAACTCTGCAGCATTTTCTCGTCACAAGTTTTTAAAGCATCTTCCACCCTCTTATAGAGACTCAGTAATTCTGTCCGCTTCAATACATCCATGTTTTTCGCATCTGAAAATACGGAAAATGCCTGAAAATAAAAGGGAAAATACTTGTAGCCACATCTTTTATACCAAATATTTTTTAAACATAATATTTTTAAACTAGAAATACATACATGCAACAACCCCGCGTCATTTCAAACGAAGAAAAATATTTCCTGAGTTAGCCAGACCTAACCCTCTAAACTTTTGAAAAGACTTAAATATAAAGCCGATGTTTCAAATTATTCGGAAACAAACACAGTCATATAAAAAATGAAGTGAAATCGCCCACTTTCCTACATGCTGCATTGGCTACGTTGCAGTTGCATGCAGTTTAGAGACTCTTACAGTTTAAGTGAGAGTTAATACTTCACTATAGCTAAACCTTCAAAACATCAAAACAGCACAAATAATTTAAATCCCCAAACACTAAACGTCGAATTTTTTTTCGATTATTGAATTTATGCAGAGATTGCAGTCGACTCTTATCATTTATAGACCTGGAGCGAGGGGAATTCGACGAAATATTACCCCCAAGGGAAGATATATCCCGAGGGCTTCGCCCGAGGGATATATCTTCCCGAGGGGGTAATATTTCGTCGAATTCCCCGAGAGGAAGGTCTATAAATTATATATTATATCGAAACAACGTGTAGGTAGCGCAAAAGCTGGGTGAAATGGCTTCTTTTGCCTCCATTTTGAAATTTTTGACAATCTCGAGTCGTGTGCGAGGCATCCACGCGTGGTACACGCAAACTCGAATACCCCGCTGCAGCGGGGTATTCGACTTTTATAGCATAATGTGAAAAATTCGATGGAACTCCATGATTAATTTACTGATCACGTGGTACAAATCGAGCTTTCTGATTGGATGATTTACAGTTGAGATATAATATTATAAAAAGTGATATTTGTTGTTTCTCCATATTTAAACAGCTAAACACCAGTCCAAAATAGGCTTTTAATCGAAGCCAGCGGTAAAAACTACTAATGAATTAAAGGAATACTAAATGGTTTTCCGTGCAGGATTACGTGATACTGCACTTCGGAAATTGCTCGACTTTCGGAAAGCGTGAAAAAACACTCGCCGTTTTCTTTATAAAATAACTACAATGAGACGACAGTCAAATTTCCCGCGCGAAGCGGCATTGTAAACTTTCCGGGCAGGATTGTCTTATAGTGCACGCCAACGAACCAATCAAATTGCGTGTTTCATTGTAGTTATTATATAAACAATATTAACTATTTGCAAGGATTACTTATTACAGATACAATAGACAATACATACAAACATTTTCTTACGTCTTTGCTGGATACCAAGGTATGCTAAAATCTCCGATCACATGCATGTAAAGAGAGGAAAAAATAAACCGCGTGCAGTGCTTTCGTTCAATGTGATTGCTTTTTTAAAAGCTCAAAACCAGTGAACTCAAATAGATTTGGAACGATAGATAACTCAATACTTTCGGGGTCTGAATGGTTGAAGCCAAACATAGCGCCAGTAATGGACATCTCCCCCCGGAAACGACCGCATGCTAAATTGCTTTGGCGGCGTCCGATCCCGACGTTCGAAGCGAAGGAATTGCCGTGAAAATATAAATTTGTCTTTTGCTTTGTTATTTTTGGCGAATGTTTGCCATAATGTCACCTGGTTTATTTCAAAGCAAACAAATATATTTTATACATATATTTTGGTGATAATAAATACTCTTGTTTTTAAACTTTGATTTTTTCTCTCCACAAGGGCCCAATTTTTACCAAACTAAGAAAGTAGTATTTAAGAACAATATACACTATTTTTGTGGTTTGAAGATCTAGGTGTACCCCAAACTTTCAAAAAACGCGCGAATTTTTTGTCATTTTTGTGTTTACTTCAATATTATTTCGTAATGGCAGCATTTTTGTTAAATCTGGTTACACATTTGAGAAATTCAGTCATCATTCTTCGGCTTTACGTATATTATACGAAGCTAGTGCAAGATTTAATATGAAAACTTCATCGATTTAAAGATGTTTATATTTTTAAAAAAATATTTAAAAAAGTTTGGGTCTACCTGCAAACTGAGCACAAAGTCGGCTTCAATTTCTCCCCCTCAGTTATCGTTCCAGATGTATTAGAGTTCACTGCTCCAAACAGACTGGGTATGCATGAGCTTGATTTAAATAGTTTGTGACGTAATATCACAATATTTGTTATATCAAGACTCCGAATTGCACTTTCAATAACTCGTTTTGAAGTTAAAACGATTATTTAAAGCATTAAATAGTCGGTTAGGTCTTCGCATTATCTCATACCTAGTGTAAAAGTTGGTTCCGGGCAGGTAGGCTTTTTTCGAGCTCACCTGCTGTTCCGAACTCACCGCGGTGAATTGATCGGCAAATTGATCGCACCAAAAATTGATCGGCAAAATCAATAAGCATTGGTAAATCAATAAAGTTGAATGTTTAACCTTTTCCCAGTTTTATGTATACCGTTTCATTTGATTCCACATTTCATTTTCAATTTTTTTTAAAAGAATAGCTTGCAAAATGACAGTTAAATTGCTGACGTTTTTCCTTGAAATGCAAACTTTTTGTCTTAGCCAATCAGCAAGTTGCTGATTACTGGTCTTTATTCGTTCAAATTTTGCGCATGCGTTTAAGTATACCATGACCATTGAAAGTCTAAAATGTCTAAGTTTCCTTATAATGTTTTTATCATAATAATTTATAAAAGAGTTCCTTAAGCGATTCGTACTTGCAGGTGGAACTTATAAAGTTCTTTTTTTCCCGTAATTTTCTATTGCCTGCTTAGGATGGTAGAAATTTGGCAAGCTTGTGGTCAGCATTTGATACAATATCATTTAAGAGTTTATCGGACAAATATTCGCGTCTATATTCCAGGGTGGAGATACCAGCTTTGAAAAGAGCATCACTATAGGACAGGTCTGGATACATTGTGCTCAATGCTCTCTTTTGTATACGTTCAATGTCTTTTGCAAGATATTGTGGCAAGGAACTATGAAATAATTAGCATGCATATTCGAGAACAGACTTAATGCAGCTACAGTAAAATTTGACTAAGTCTCCCGAAGCCACATCAGTACGTTAGTAGATTACCTCCCCCCCCCATATACGGATGAAAAGGATGCCGCCAATGACGTCACAATGGGTGTGCATGGGGGTGCCACGTGAACATTTCGTGGGGATACATAATAGTTTCGCGTGAACATCATAGATGATGCATTTTGCGTACAATGACGTCATACTAAATGTACACGGGAGTTTCACGTGTACATTATGCGTTTGATGTGCGTGGTGTTTATAGGGTATGATATAGGAATCAAAAACAGATTTTAGTATGGATTATTTATTATTTCGATTTGTTGAAAAATCATGGTACAGTTCGATTTGTCTCTAAAATAATTTTTTTTTAATATAATTTAGGTACTCTACGACTATTAAAAAGATAGTGATTTAGGATTGTTCTAAAGTCTTTTGTTCTAAAGGCACTTAGACTTACGGTTCGTTGTATTTTGTTGAAATGTGCAATAATCAATAAGTAAAAATTAATGTTTGAGGGAAATAAGAACGAGTTTAGTAGAAACATCTGATCACGTCTCAGCATGCAGTCGGTGACTTCTATCCACCAATTATTATCGTAACTCATCGGCTATGACGTTTCGCCAATGTACACGTCGTACCCGATTGGTTCTTTGACGTTCAGTCTTTTTCCTCCAAGTCAGCTTGGAGCCGTGACTCAAGATAAAAAAAGCAGGACCTTGCTTCTTTACAAGAAACGCGAGTCATTCCCAATTCCTTGAACAGAAAATTCCTCTTAACTGAAAGCCATCCATGTCGATTATTCTGACAATGTTCTCCATCGCTTGTGTGGTGATTTATGTGACGGGGTTTATTCGCTCCATGTATTTATTATATCTATGTACGTAGGGGGCGCTGATGTGGTGTATACGTTGACAATTTGCGCGGGCATTGTATACACATACCGGATACATGTGGATAATGAAACAATGTATATACGTAGACAACGCGTGTTGTCTACGTTGACATTTTGCGCGGGCATTGTATTATTTGTATACGCATACAAGATACATGTGGATAATGAAACAATGTATATACGTAGACAACCCTGATCAAAGTGTATACGTTGACATTTTGCGTGAGGATGAGTCGGGTACAGTTTATGGCTTTATGCCATGAGCGCTTGCGCATAACTGCTCATGAGCACATGCTCATCTGCTCATAGAACTTCATTATACTGTTCGGTAACAAGACACTCCCAGGGGAGGTTTTTGTTAGTAAAATGAAAATTAATGTATGACCTAGCATGGGAAATAAAAAAAATTTCAGACATGGATGATTTTAACATTTATTTGTCTTGCAATTGTCTGGGAATTAGTTACATGCAGCAATAGAAAATAATTACTTCTAAATCGTTATCGCTTTTTGCCCGTTTGCCATGGTTTCCTTAAGAAAGGTTTAGTAAACCATTTGGCTGAGTTTAAATTCTAATCTTCATCATCATTATCGTCATCATCATCACTGCTTTTTTTTCTTTCACATCTTCAATCTCGTGGTCGTTTAAAAGCCTTTTAATGAGGAACTTTCTCAAATCAACTGCAGCTTCTATTGCTTCTTCTGGGAAATCATCATTTTGAATAAACGCATCTTTTGTGTGCATTATTTTCTTATGTGCTGGATCTTTCTTTATTTGTCTCATCCACAAAAGGCGCTCTTAGTAGATATTTCTAACTCTTTTTGGAGTCTAGGCATAACATTGAAGTAAGCTTTCTCTTTAGCGGTATGCTCATCGAGACCACTGCTTATAAGACTTTCTTCCATTTCCTCAAAAGCAGTGTTACTTCTCTGTTTTGCTTCCTCTATTAACGGTATCCAGGGGTCCATTTCTTCTTCAGATTCTGAGTCAGACACTGTCGAACTTCCAGACTGATGAGTTGAAGTGGTCAAGACATCATCTTGGAATTCTCTTTCTTGACTGTCCAAGTCTGTTTGAGACATGTTTTTTTTCTTTTTCTCGTAGTGGACA